AAAGATACGGGACAGTTGAAGATAAAGACATGGGCTATACGGTGTCCGCTTAAAGTTATATCAAGGTAGACTTGATGATAAAATGAGATAGGAGATATTTCTTATTTTTAATTTCCCATTATATTGGGTTGGGGAAAAAGTTTCTCTGTATTCTCCTGGTAGATGGTTATATGGCATAACTCTGGTAATACTAATCGAATCTGGCAATACTTGTGTGCGTTTGAAAAGTGATATCATAGAGAAATTAAAGAAAGGAGTCGTGATATTTATTTACTCAGTCAAAACTTACTGCGTCTTAAAAATAAGTGAAATAAAAAATTTGATACATTTTGAAATTTTATTATAAAAAAGGGAAGAATGCGACTCAGGCTGCTAAACAAAGAACCCTGCACTAATCATATAGGAAATTGGATCTCGGTTAAATTGGCTAGTTTTCACATATGCTGTAGCTTATATCTCATAATAAGACTATATCTCATTATATAGTGTCTTTGAAAAACTCTTGACATAAAAATGTGCAATGAAAAATGGGGGTGTCCATTTAAGAAATTGAAATTGACCTTCATGTGACCTTTAAAAGATTATCCAAGGTCAAATTAATGGCATCGTCTTGTGTCTCCCTTCGAACCAAACAACTTTTGTCTGAAACATTTTTTCCTAATATGCTTCAAAGTATTTCCAAACAGAACCCGCGGAGCTCAAATTTTCCATGTTTGACTGGCTGTAGCTCAGTAACTAGCCATTATTTAAGTTTGAGCCCATTATATTTTTTGTTCAGCAGGTCGTAAGCTACAACATATGTGGAAACTAGCCAATTTAACCGAGATCCAATTTCCTATATGATTAGTGCGGGGTTCTTTCTGATATTTATGGACGTGATGCAGTTTCAACACGTAGGCACCAAGCTGCTTCAAGCGTTTTCAATATGGAAATTTTTATATCAAAGATGCACCTCGGTCTGGTCGTCCAATTGGAAAAGTCGATGAAATCGTGGAAAAAATTGAGCAAGACCGGCACATTAGCAGTCATGATATTAGTAGGGAACTAAACATCAACCACAAAATAATTTGAAACCGGTTGAAGAAGGCTGGATACAAATAACTTGATGTTTGTATGCCACATGATTAAAAAATTTAATGAACGCATCTTTGACGACCCGTCAAAAATTGCGAGAGCTTGGCTGGCAAGTTTTGATGCATCCACCGTGTAGTCCCGACCTTGCACCATCGGACTACCACTTGTTTCGGTTTCTACAGAACTCGCAAAGTGTAAAGTTGACTTCAAAAGAGGCCTGTGAAAATCACTTGTCGCAGTTTTTCGCCCAGAAATCACAAAAGTCCTACAGCGTTGAGATTATGGTTTTACCTGAAAAATGGCAAAACGTGGTCGAACAAAACGGCACATATTTGGTTTAATAAACTTCATTTACAATATGAAAGAAAAACTGTTTCACTTTTGCACTAAAGTATGAAGAAATTTTTTCCCCGACCCAATATTTTTCTTATATATTCCTGCGATTTCTGTTAACTTTTCGAACCTACTTTCTATTCTTTAATCCGTGAAAAAGACATTTGCATAAATATATTGTCAGGTAAAATAAACAGTATTTAAAAATAGTGAAGGAGTATAAAATATGTGTGTGTTCACGTATAGGGCCATACAAAAGAATAAGGTGGAACGTACCTTAATGCGACCATGTGAGAATGTTAGCGAATATTTGCAAAAAAAATTGAAAGTCGATGAAGAAGCACTCAATACGGTGACCAAGAAATCGCCAGGTATTTTACGGGTGAACATAGCGAAATTGGATCAGTTAATCGATATACTGCACCAGAATGGAATTACTAGCGATGAAATCTTACGGCATGCCCGAATCTTCTATTTTAATATAGAAACTGTACAGAAACGAATCGAAATCTTTAAGAAAGAAGGTCTTCTTCCGAAACTTACAATGCTAACACAATCTGAGCAAATTTTTGATCAGTATGTAAAAGTAATAAAAAAATATATAGAAACTAAGTATAAAAAGTAATCTAATTTTGACTGTTTTCAATTTTTATTGTTTACACAGGTACATAGAGGTGAATAACGAACAGCAGAGACTGTTGCAAGAACATGGAAGTGTTAAGAACTACTTAATTGACCAATTAAACGTGGACGAGAAGCTCCTTGAAGAAGTAATTACAAAGCGTCCGACTATCTTACGGGTGAAGTTAAAAAAGTTGATTAAATTGATCAATGTGCTGCGACAAAATGGTATAACCGGCGACGACATAATAAGGCATCCAAAAATCTTTTATTTTAGTACCGAAACACTGTGTAAGCGAATTGAAATGTTGAAAGAGGCCGATATACCGCTAAATCTCAATTTAATAATACGTATGCAAAGAAACTTCAGTCAATCTGATCTAACGGATCTCAAACTCAGATTACACAGGTCAAAAAATGTTCATACATAAAACTTAGGGTGTAGTAAATTTATTTTATTTAACATAACTATTTTTGTAACATGCAAACTTGTAAAAAAAAAACAAAAATGTACATTTGTATACACAAATTTCAACAACGAAACAAATATGCAATAAAAGGAATGGAACAAATTTACTTTATATAAATACACAGAGTATAGCGCGATATCAAATAAAAAAAGCGCAATTGATCATTATTTATATCAATAATCCAGTATATTTAGTATGTTTTAAATACACTTTAGTACTAAGTTCAGTTATTTCATATTACATTCATTATTTAAAGATTAAAACAAATAGTTTTGCATTCTTCAGTTGCTAAGTTGATACTTTATTATTAAGTTTTGACACACAGTCTCAAAAAATTTATCAACTATGGATACGAAATCTCTAGGACTCCTCTCATTTATTTTGATCACTTGTATTTCTTTTTTTCTAAAGAAAAAAAATTTGATTCTTGATTTCACAATATTGAAAAATAAAAGAAAATGCAACAGTAAGTATGCCTACAGGATAAAGAGCGATTTCACTGATCCTTTCATTTTTCGTATCTAGAAGTAACGGAAAAAGAAAAATAGGAAAAAGTTGTAGATAATAATGGAGAATACATATTTTGGATTAAAATTAAAATGTTAAATTTTGCATTGCATTGTAAAAATATTTACAAAACCGTATTTGTTACGGGATGATCCAAGGGAAATTTTTACAGCTCTAGATCTACTAGTATACAAAGTTCACAGTTAAAAAAAATACAAAATAGATGAAAATAGATGCCAATCTTTTCTTATAAATATGTGTTAAGAAAACAATACTTTCCATCTAAAGTCATTCATTATTTTAAAGATACAAATCATAGGTCGGTATTCATAGTCAAATCTTAAGATGAGATATGGAAAGTTTTATTGTCTACGGAGTATCTAAAGATAATCTTAAAGCGATTTTAAATATAAAATCTGATTATGAATATCGCTCATAGTGAACATCTTCATTTATCTGCAGCACTTATGTCGCGACCATTGATTTCTGTCAACCCGCTGTTTCTGCAAAGTTCGAACAGCTTTGATAAGTGATCGTCTTTAAAAACTGCAAAATTCCCTTGGCGCAGTTTCTTTTCTAAAGAGGATCCTATTAAATCGGGATGGTCAATTAACTTTGTTCCAATTTTCAAATCGTCTAACCATATTGTATTTCCAAGATGGAGGCAAACCTGCGAACAATTTACTCGTATATTCTTCTTCTCTTATTAATTTTTCTCTCACTAATCTGACAAACTTACTTTCCCGGAGATATAAGACCTTTCCTCGAAATTGTCTGCGAACCACTTGTGCACCTGTTCGTTAGTACATGGATTCCATGTACATTCATTGTCCCAAGGTATTAAATTAGATAAAAATATTTCAACAACGTGTGTTGGGAGATTCGCTAATTCCTCAGGCATGTGCAGTAATTTACGTACCTAAAATACCAAAAAACTTGTTTATACAAGAGAGAAGAAATATAAATAATATACTTAGTCACAAAATTATATCTCATATGTATAATATGTATAAAATACGACAATTTATATTATAAATATTATATTATTTTGAGAAATATATTGTCAAAGGAAAATATTTAACATGTTGACTGTCAAGGGTGAGTATCGAAAAATGAATCCCATAAGCCACGATTATCTTTTTCACATTTTGAATCAAAAGGCTTGTTTTCTATTGCTGCACTGGTGAACTAATGCAGTAAGCTAGAATGAGAAAAAATATACTTGTCTTACTCTAACTTATTGCACTAGTTCGCCAGTGTAGCAACATAAAACAAGCCTTAAATTATCAATAGTATGGTATGATAGTACACTAATCCGATTGATACGATCGGTATAGTTTTTAAAATATAACTGCTTTTTTATTCCCATAAATATAATATTATTCTTCAGTATTCATGATACAATAGACTGTTAATAATTCCTTCAAACTTCTTGTGAAGCTTGTGAATGCTACACCGAAAGGTTTCATATTGTACGCCATGTAATTTAAAATAAATCAAAAACTACATAGAATGTCTCCAAATACTTGTGACGGATCTTCGAATGGGCAAAATACTGCCATCAATATTTGGTGACGAAACCTCCTATGAAAATACCATGTCAACAATATACGGTGACGTGTCAGTCAACATGTTAGTGCAAAACTTGAACGTAATATCAAGTAATAAAAAATAATCTTACATCGACACGTTCATGTATAATACCACTGTCGATACATCTTACATCTACGAATTTTTCATCCTCAGAATAACTTTTGTCATATCTGATGCATCTGATTTGCACTCGTTTAAACGTGTCGAGTGTGTCCTCAAAAGCGCATATATCTCCTACGTTTGTCGAGATACACATTTTTCTACAATTGGATATATAATATGTTAAGGCTCCTGTTGACTTGATCGCCTAGTCCGTGTATACACACGCTTGGCAAAACTGTAAACTATAAGGCGTAAAAACTAATGGCAAAAACTAAATCAATCTTGCAACGTACATTTTTTGTTTTAATGTAGTGCTTTTAAGTACATTTAAAATAATTGTACTATTAAAGACTCCTATTTTGCTATAATTGAACATATAAAAGCAAATTTTTATCTCAATTCGGTAGTCGTCACATAGTCTTGATTAGATATAACTCATATATGTGTTATTTATTGCTTATCCAAATAAAAGGATAGTTTTCAATATATTTTACAAGTTTGTTCTATTAATTACAAATGGTATTTTATTGAGAAACATTTTTATTTTGTACGTTGCAAGACATTCCATATTGTATCTTCTCACTTTCGACGCCATCCATTCAAGATAGTAAGTGAATAAGATCCTTAAGGATGTATTGGACGTACAATCTTAGGCAAAAGTGCATGAAATTGGAAATACTTAAATATCTACTGTTAACGCATAGTAAATCTAGATGTAAGAAACTTGAACGATAGTTGGAGTCTTATTTGTACTCCTACAAAGGTATTTTTCAGTTTACAAATGTTTTTTCCTGAATTATTTGCAATTTTATTCACTTATGAACCTAAACTTTTGATAGTGAAAATACTCTGATTTGAATTCTTAATAACGTCAAATATTTTCGTTATTATATAAAAATAACGTAAAATCGCCACTAAATTGCAGTCGAAATATCCGGATGCATATTTTGAAATAATACGACGGGTCCCTAACTGAGCGGCTATATTTAACTTGTGGCGATTACAGTCTAATTCTGGCGTTGCAGCGTTGCAACCTAGAAACCCGATTTTAGAAGTCTAGTTTAAAGTGGGTTGCAACTTTCTTACTAAAACTCACACTGAATTTTCTCTTAAAATTTATCCTGAGAATTGAAGAAGCTTTTTGAAATTTTATCGTACATTTTACTAGTAATTGTAGATGTATACGGAATATAATGTATAGTAAAATTTCCCGAAACTCATACGGTCCTACGAAACGCCGATGTTGTCCCATGATTACACGATTTTCAGAGTAAGTTTTGAGAAAAAATTCTCTCCGTGTACAAGTATACAAGTATGCATATATATGATATGAAAGCATACGAAAGCATTTATTTACATTGATATGATGTTACAACACAGAGTAAATAATGTAATATTGATATTTAAATATTGTGTATATTGTATATTGTTTCCAAATTTACATAAAGTACAAACTTATGAAAACCGGAAAAACACAAGTAGTCAGTTTAGTATTTTCGATATCGTATATAAGTATTTATTTAATTACATAGTCGCACTTAAGTGTTTTGTCGTTCCAGAGACAATACAGTTCGTCTCCGCTTTAATAAGCTGTTTGAATCTTCTGACAACCAAATGGGGGTTTTCTGTTGGAATGTCCCAACTGTACCACCATTTTATGATAATTAGCAACACGGCCTATGTCGTTATCGTTATTAGTCATCTTTCATTGTGTTGTTTTTGTTGATTTTGCATTTAAAGATTTCTACAACATTGTTCGACCCAAACGTACGTCCGAATTCTGCCTAGTTTTTGTGGATTTATTATAAACAGGATATAACGTTAGACATGTACAAAATAGAAAGAAAACTTTGTAAGCTGCTGGTAAATTTACATGAGCAATAAGATGTCTTAGAATTTGCGCGTCCTCTGTCGTATTGTGTTGATTCTTTGTGCAGTAATTCGTCAGACTGCGTCGTTACTAACAATCTTATCAATATTTTAAGATGGTGTACGAGGTAGAAAAGAAAAACGATACATTTATAAATGTAGACTGAAACCATAATAATGATCTTTTATATAATTATATAATTATATAAATATAATTATATAATCATTATATAAAAGATCATTA